CGAAAAAGAGTATAGGGATGAGAATCTTTGTAATTAGAAATATTAGCAACTGTAGATATTTTTCGAAAATGTGAGAGAGCAAAGAAATAAATGTGATGCTGGGACTCGCATTAAATGGCCTAGGATCCGTGTACTCCCTCCCTCTTTGATAGCATCATATATTTCATTGCTTCTCTAGCATTTCTGATTCGCTATGTACTTTGTATCTGAAAATCAATAAAATAGTGATCGGCGATTCGGCGTTAGCGCACGTGATTGTAATTATCAACGTAGCTTACGTAATTGGTCGTCTCGATAAAATTTTTTTTCGTGATTGCTATCTCCTCGCGTTTATTTCGAAAAGACATTCTCGGAAGTTAAGTAATTTCATCTAGAAAGAAGTATCAAACGGTATCAAACGGTATCCTACGCTCGTAAGGTTTAGCCCTGCGACCGATGCATGGATCAGAGTGTTGCGGGATAACCACTATTGACTCGTTACAAAGTTTGTGTAAAGACTCTTAGTGCCTACTCCTGGGCCTCTCATCCAGTATACCAAATGAGACTAGTATCCTACGCCCGTATGGTCAAACCCTTCGGCCGATGTTTGGATTAGTGGGTGCCGGATAACCATTATAACTCACTGCTTGTGGCTTTTAATGCCTACTCCGGGTCCTCTCTTCCAGTGTTACAGCTCTGCTTTCATAATTATCTCATATGTTAGCGGTTTTGAGAATTAGGGTGGGCCTATTCAAATCACTCATAGCAACCTTTTTTTCATCATTAGATTATGGATTTTGATCGTTACGTTACTGACTTTGTATATAACTCTGATAATATGGAATGGAGCGTCCTAAATTGTCTAAAGTATCTTGAAGCACGTGTACAATATACTTCTGATAGCAAAGAAGGTATTATTGACGCATTTGCGAGAACGTTTGAAAAAATCAGTAATTCTACTGCTATGCTTTCTGGAGTAAAGAGAAAGGCCAAAAAATTAGCCAACAAAGTAGAAGAGACATTTCGAAGAAAAGAAATTGTTGATTTTTTTAAAGTTCTGGATGAAAATTTTGAAAGGGTAAGTAGCATATGGCTTTTATATAACGCAGGATCATAATATATTAATTTCTATAATTTTATAGAGGCAGGAAGAACGGGATCTTGAGAATTCCTTCGACAAGAATGGTCGTGAACTGTTAAAAAGGTCCGGTGATTTCAATACACTGAAATTATCATCGCGTTATATGGAAAGGACAAAAGAATTATGTGAAGTAAGATCAATGTTTTATTCGTGCTTTCCGAGTCTGGGCGCTAACTTAGAGGTCATCACTAATTTCAATTTTTCAATATAACATCTAGGGTGAATCAGTAATATCAGAACATTATGGTCTAAGAAAAAAACAAAAGGTAGACTATAATGAAAAACGGATATTGGAAAGGATATCTCAATCGGAAGAATCTCAAACGGATGACCATTCAGAATTTTCTCAGGCAGAATCTCTTAACCCTCCAAAAATTGAGGTATCTTAGTTCAACAGTTCAACTATATCCGCTAATGCGTTTCTATATTACTTAACTAAATGTGAATTTTATTAGGCGCTAGCGAGTTTAAACACGAAATCGCACTTAGAAAATTATAATATTGTTTGTCTCTTTGACATCGAATTTCCCTACACCAAACAACTCTTTATGAAATTATCAAGGAATCAGATGCGCAATATGGAGAGTAAATGGATAGAGGTAAGCTTATCTTATACTTAAATGAGAGCTATGGACATCGAGCTAATGAATATATTCTTTTAATAATAATAATGAGGCCGAAACACATATTAGCAAAGAAGAGATTGAAAAGTGCTGGAAAGAATGCTCATTAAAAAAACTGGTGGATGATAACAACCAAACCATTAAAGACAATTCAAATGAAAATACGCTTTATGTTGATCTCAATGAACTTATGACCTCTTTTACAAAACAGAAATTTGACAAATATGACCACCAAAAAAATTACGAATTGCTTTGGTGTCAAAATGTTTATGTGCAGATGTAAGTTTTATGGTATTGTTATTGACTGATAAATGAAAAATGAAATAACTAAATATTCTTATACCAGGACTCTCCAACTATTACACAAGCACAGTGCATTGCTTGACAAAGAATCCGGTGAATTTAAATATCGAGATGACATCGTAAACCCTCTTCTCGCATCAATTTTTTATGATGTCGAGGATGTGCTATGGATGAAAACGTAAGTGTTCATATTGAAAGTGTCATTCCTAACAGTATGAATCTGAATTCTTATTAACGATAAACTAGTGGAGAAATCGAAAATGAATCACGAAAACGACAACGAAATTTTTCAAAGCAGGAAGATGATCGTGGAAAACTTGGTGACAAACACGACGGTATATTATACATGAATGTCAATGGTGTAAAAATTGGCGTTGGTTTTGTTGAAGTTGTCGGCAATGCATTCACCGCAGATATTTCTGACAAGAATTACGACCTTGAGAAGCTATTGAAAGGTATATCTGTAATTCTGACTACCGTATTTAACGAAATATGATTCTAACTTAATTCTATTTCTCTATTAATCATAGCAATGATGATATCCCTATACTATCAACGTGCACACCAATCTGATAATGAGAATATCTCTCGATTGCAATCATTTGCAATCTTAGTATTTGGTAAGTGCTTATACTAGTAAGACTTTTTTTAATCAAAACTGCTGATTTACTTGATCACTTTGAACAGGACGTGAGTATCATCTTCTAAGCATGCATCTAGTTGATGAAATGTACATCGTAGATGAATACGATGCTTTCATAATACCAGATTCTTGTGTGGACTTGTTACAAATCGGAAACGCTATCGAAATAGTGAAAAAATTTAAGGTAAGTTCTTTTTTGTTGCTAGATGTTTATAGGCTCCTCATTCCATAATATTCATAACGCTTTTGTATAGGTACGATTGATAAAATATTATCGTCAACTTATTAAAAAACCACGTAAAGTGACTCGACTCCCAAGTGCGGGACCACCAACTGCTTCACCATCTGGGTCAAAAGCAAAAAAAAAATCGCATTGAACAAATTCATAAACAAATGTATTTATGGCATTAAATGTAGAATCGTTTTGTAAATTACTAGCTGAATGCAATACAATCAGATGATAATAAAAAATGATTTAGTCAAATAAAGAATTTTCATTATATGATTTCACCAATGGCAGTTTGCATGCACATTAATGTAACGGTTTCAACCCAAAAATTCGGAGTATAATTTTATTAGTATAAAGCAAAATAAAAACATCTCAAAAATTTTTCTTGACAAGTGATCGGTGTTCTTCCGATTTTGATGAATATCAAATTTTTACTTAACTGATGTATACGTGGTATCTACAATAAATAAATACTAATAAGCATTTTTTTTCGGCTGATCTGTAACTCATCTCGTGATTTGAGTTGCGCGGAAACTGACTGCGGAGCTAGGGTGATACCTGTGATACGATTACATCATGCCACAAACCGATTTATATGCATGTATCTTAGCCGAGAGATGACCCTATATAAATCCCTGATATGCTTGTAATTGAATAAAAATGATAATCTTGCTATATATTGCTAAAAACACTATAAATCACTAAAACAGCTATAAATTTCTATAAAGTCGTAAAATGGTTAAAACTAACTATTCCGGTTTAAATCCTGTTGTAGTGCAGGCGTTAAACAATCTGCAATATAGGTATAGTGGTGAAATGCCAGAAATGTGGTGTTCTCGTATTCATTTTCCACTTAAGAAACTTCTTGAATATAACCCAAAATACTTCTCCAAGAATGGATTTATCCAAATGATTGAAAGATCATATAAATATGGGAAATTTAAAGCTGGGAGACACTCATTTCATATTTATTGCACTGTATGCGACTCCTTGGTGTTTATCCGTGAAAATAGCATTAAATGTGCAAATATTCACCTAAATGAATGTATTGCTAAAACAGTCAAAAGGCGGATTGCATATTCTAAACCTGTACAGAAAAGTGTGAAAAAAGGAGGAGCACCAAGCCAAAAGAGTGTATTATCGCTTAGTTTTGACGAGATAGATGAGATTTATCGAACATATTGTTTTACATTAAGTAAATGCTAGACTAAATATAGTTATCATTATTCACCTTAAGATAGGAAAAGAGTTGTAAATCATTTAATCGAAAGTGCAAAAGTTGTCTAACGGGCTTGGAGAACTTTCAAGTTGAGACCTGAAACATAGGCATAACAAGTTTGGAATATGGTAAGAAATGATGGTACTCCTGACGAAAAGAAGTTTTTAGGTATAACTCCTCATAAAATAAGAGTTTCTGATGATCGATATATAGACTATATATAGGATCCCAGTTATCTTCTAGTAGGAATTAATTATAGAGATAGAATTCAAGCTAAAGATATGCTTGCACATTATCAGAATCTTCCTATATTATATGATCATTATACTTCATAAAGCTGGGTAGAAAAAAAGAAAACAGTTATGAGAACGATTAAATAATGTAGCATACATGATTGCTTTTATAGAATTACATCTGCAAGGCTATAGAATCATTAAATATGATTGTTAGTTTTATATATTAAAATGGCTATCAAATCCTGAATATTACTGTATTGACAAATACCTAAACAATAGCAATGAGAACTTTGTTAGAAGTTCAGAATATGCACAATATGAATGTAAATTGGCAGGCAAACATTATCAATATAATTTACTAGATATTGACTATTATAAAACTGAAAATATTAGTATCAATGGAGAGTATACTACAATAGATTTCTCAGATTCAAATAATAATTGCAAGTATGTGTGACGAATTTTTCAGACTATAGATTCTTTATTAAAATAGTATGTTACATATTTATATTTACTGTATATATAATTATTATAATAATACAATAAATCAATTTATTTTTTTGTGAAATGATAATCTGCATGCATGATCGCCTATTATAATTGTGAAATGTTTCATATATATAAAAAAAAACCTGATTTGCCTATTTCAGGATAGATCCTTCAATATACTATATAACTATTTTAGTGAAGTATTTCAGGAAGATCAATGAAGCAGTTTTGGGGATTCTTGATTCCTAAATATTACTATCAATATGGCTCTAAAAATTTCTATGCAATAGTTATTCAGCGAACTTACAGAAATTACAAGAAGAGAGCTGAATCTTCAGCAAAATGAGTTTGGGAGACAGTAAGAAATAATGGTACTCCTGACGATAAGAAGTATTTAAATATAAAAAATGAAGGATATAATCCTTCAGAACAAATTTAATATGAGAAATATTGTTCTTTAGCAAAAAATAGATAGATATTTGAGAAGAAAGCCCAGTTATAAGAACGATTATCTTTTGCAACATAAATACTTGTTAAAAAATTATTATACTGGTAAGGCTATATAGTTGTTAGAGATACATATTGGCTTGACATATTAAAATGGTTACGGAATTCTGAATATTATAATATTTATAAAATAATATACTGTTCAGCCACAGTAGGAGAACAGTGTATGACATAAATTAGCATGTTTTTGATTCTCATTAAAGTATATATGATGTAATATTGAGATTTTTAATGCACATTCCGCATGCTCTTATTCTCAAAAAAAATTTGGTGTAAAGTGTTTTGCATATTTTTCTTATCTCTTTTTTAAACATAAAGAGAATGAGAAATGGTGGTATTTAAAAGAGCAGTATGGTAAATTTATATTCAGGTCACTTATTCTATATTAATAACACAAAACTATGTCTTCTGAACTATACTCGAAAATTTACAATTTTTTAGTAACTGCTAAGCAAGAACACATTATTGCCACCCCAGTTATCTATCAAGGAATAGAGAAGAATCCATAAATTCTGAAAAAAAGAGTTAAAAGGAGTGGTTTTTCAAGCAATTTCATTAGCAATGAATCTTTATACCTAAGGTTCAGAACATCAACAAAAATTTCTTAGAATACCTCTTCAGGTAAGTCCTTATGAAACAAACCTAAAAAAATATTCGTTGGATAGAATGATAATTTAGCATAGCTTTAGTACTTCCTAAATAGTGAGCATAACAGTTTAGATATTCTAATAGCCTACAATTAAGGGATAACTATTCCCTTAAACGCATGAAAGGTGAATATACTGTAGCATTATGCTTTATCCATATGTGATTATTATTGTATTATGCAAAAGTTATTATCAATGTGAGGGTCTCACAAAGACAATAATCTATGATAGCTGACGATACGTGCGTTAATTTTAGAAGGTGATTTTATTTATGAGAATAATAACTCAATCTATCATTGTCATAATTTGATGTATCATTTGAAGGCGTCTGTAGCTTACAGAATATCGGAGTTATGAAAGTGAATAAAGAGAAACCTCTTATTTCAAAACAAATTGATGCAAATTTGAATAATATAAGATTAAAACTTTCAGTAAGCATATGCAGATAATGTTTTCAGGACTAAATTCTTTATTAACTGATTATTCTATTATAGAGGAAACTATCCTCACTTTCTAATGAATTAATACTTAGATTAAGATTGATCATTGTTTCTAACCTTTCATAAAAAAATCTACTTACTAGTAGCGTTATTAGTGACAATTCAGGTTTAGTTCAAAACTTTTCACAGAAAATACAAAATACTTTTTTAGTAAGTACTTTATAATTTTTGAGAATTATAACAATCAAGTTTCTAATTCAGCACTCTTTACTAGAAGCTATCGCGTTGAATAATACCTTCAAATTTAGCAATAATTTGAGAAATATGTAGAAGATTTATAGCAAACTTTAATGAACATCGAATGAAAAGTTTACCTGATGAATTAAAGCATGATAGTTCTTGGAAAGAGTCAATAGAGATGCTCATTGGAGTTGCAACTAATATTCTTAATATATTATAAATAATAATAAGGAAAATTATTACTGTATATATCACTGATTCATTATTAATAGGAGCAATATCTGGAACAATCTGACGTTTAGACTAGATTTTGAAGATTCGCTTAATGAAGACACTTATGTGACAAATATGATAATACCAGCAATTCAATCTGCTTTAAAAAATCTTCCTTTTGAAAAGACTGCATTCATTAGTATATCAGAATGGCAAAGTCTCACCAGTGCTAATAGAAAAGGTGATGGTCAAATGGGAAGACAACCAGACATGATGTTCAAATTTAAATATAATGAGAAAGTTTATGAATTTATGTTTGTCAAATGCTCGCAGTTATCTTGTACTAAACAAAAAGAATTAGATAATATAGTAAAATTATGGCAAGGGACTAATGATGGATTATATTGAACTCAAAAAGAATGTAAACCAGAGAAGAAGCAATTTGGGATCATTAGAATTCAGGTTGCTGGTAAAATAATTTTCTTATATTTTTTATGATCCATATTTCATGAGATTTTTTTAATAATATAGAAACTTTATAGGGTGAAAAATACATTTAAATGTTATCAAAAGAGGTGAGGATAAGATATATTATTATTATCATTTACACTTGGTCGAGATACCTGTACGTCCTATAGGAGAATATGACTTGCAGTGTGTAAAATTCATGTGCACAATGTGCACATGTGCACATTAAATTTTTATGTGCACATATTACACAGCATAAAATGTGCACAAATAATTACTAAAAATAGATAAATTATATATAAAAATGGATAAATTATTTATAAAAATGGAAATACTATGTAATACATGCATTAATTTTCTATTTTTAGTACAACTTGTGCACATAACTTTTGGTCCAAATTTTATACACTGATTGAGTGTTATAGGAGTGGTGACCGGTATATTAGGTTGTCCAGTCATAATTATTTGAAAAAAAGGTCTGGGGCGGGACCTCTGTGCTATCGTCTAATATTGCGACGGCACTAGGTAAGTTAAGTTTGGGGATTTGGATAATGTGTCCAGGATGCGTATCATCTAGGACCATGTGTTGAATGTTTGCAACCGCTTTGAGGGCAACGTTGAGTTTTTCTACAGTGATCGCATGGTTTTTACGTAAGTCTTCAGTTTCTGCGTGAAGAAGCCCAATATGTTTCTCTTGCTCGTTTATACGAGACTCTGAAGTGTCAACTTCTGGTTTATATTTTGAGTCTGTATCCATGGCGCCTTTTGCTTTGGCTGCTTCATTAAGTTCTGCGGCTTTTTTTGGGGTGAGGGTAAAGATGTTTAAGTACTTTTCTACCTCATCGAGGCGGTGTATCGAGAATGTGAGATCGTTATAGAGTGTTGCTAATGTTTCAGTAATAGCATCTAATTTATTTAGGATATGTTGGGTGTCTGTTAATTCAGTAACAGGAGTTCTTGTAGATCTGTAGGGGACATCTTCATCATCCATTTGATCAGATCAGGATTTTTGTGCGTGTATGGAGTTGTCAAAAGAATTGGGTTTAACGATGTCCTTGTTCTTCGTATTTTTGGGGAGGGGTAGTTTCGGGGGTTTTGTTACTTTTTGTTCTATTAGCAAAGAATTGTGGGTTTTTTGGATCGAACATAGAATCTTTGTCATACACAAAAGTGATCTTAGGGCGCAGTGAAGGCGGAGTAATTTTTAAATTGCGCCGGTTTGAAACGTTAATACAAATTTTGGGTTTGTTTGTCTTTTGGGTTGGGACGTTTGCGGCGACAGTTTCGTGAGTCGTGATCTGGGATTGAACAGTGTGCACACAAATTGGTATCTGGCGTAGTCCATATGAGTTTCCTATTATCGAATTTAATGGGATCACCGTTCTTTGCTGCTTCGAGGTCTTCTTTATTGTTGAAATGCATAAATGCATATTGTAAGTTTCTGTAGTTCGATCTGGCTTTGGGGATCACTCACGTGATCGCATTAACTGCTTTTCCTATTGGCTTGAGTTCTCTTCTGGTGGTATCCTTTGGGAGGTTTGTGAACTTCAGTGTAAATTGTGTACAGCCTTTAACTTCTTCAGGTGTTAGGGTACAAAGATGAACTCTGATCATGTCTTTTAGCACGAAGATACTAGCATGAGTTTTGAAGAAGGATAGGTCTATTCCAGAAGCGTATGATATAGTGGCTTATTACCATAGGTTTTTCGTAAGCATAGAGCATCTGACAATCGTACCAAAACGGGCGAACGTAAATCTAATGATTTGCACAGAAGTTGAGATTGGGATCTCGGTAATTTTGATCGATGTATCTGGGTCGAATTTGAATGGGGTTGGCGTAGTAAGGGGTACGAACATGATGTTGTCCATATCTGGAATTTTAACAGCCACTGCACGAGTAGCATTATCTCGTGTGGCAAAGCCTAATCGGACAATTTTTAACATTTTGTTAGTGGGATCTGATTTAATGGATGCACCAATGAATGAAGGGAATGAAGCGCTGTTGAAGAGTTCATAGGCCTTATTAGTTTTTTCTTTGAAGAATTTATTAGGGAAAAAAGTCTCAGTGGCGCAGTATACGTAGTAAGTGGTAGCGTCGCGAAGTCTTTCAAACGAGATAGTATTTTTATTAGTTGTTTTATTGTTTAATAAATTCTCTGAGGCGTCGAAAGCTTGGTCCTCATCCATTATATTATCAGTTTCGGGAGCTGTTGTTTTGTTATCCGTTTGTTGTAAGTTGGAGGAAGGAACAGTTATAGTTACTACTGGTTTTTCTACTGTAGTAGACCAGTTAGTTTTTTTGAAATAATCAAAGTTTTTGTTACAGTGTGCTATTTCTGCGAGTTCA